TTGTCAAGATTTTGTAATTAGTGGTAATTCTACAGTTGCATTAATATATATATATATTTTATGTTTAATATAGAAAATATTTATATTTAATATAAAACGCCCTATATATTAAACAAGGTTCTTTCAGTGGAACTTAAGAATTTATCAGCACTGCTGACTCATCCTTGTGCTCACAAAAGTTGTTTCGAAGCAAGATGTTGAATAAAAATTTGTCAAAATAGCATTTAAAGATGGAAACTGGTAAATAAACTGTGTCAGAATAGATGGGGCTATAATGTAAGACGTGGGGTGCTGTGGATACTGCACAAACTTTTTAAATCCTGGAATTATTTCATGTCTGTTGCAGGATTAGCATGATTCATTTATCATTTATCTCTTCCTGGCTCTGTAGGAAAACACCTAGCTTCCTGCTTTCTGTGATTTTATTAAAGATGAATGCATAAAGCAGTGGAGGTCTGCATATCAATTTGTAAAATGAGTGATTAAGAGCGTTAAGAAACTATTTTTTGAGCTTTGAGTAAAAATGAACAACTGAACTCCATCATAAAAAAAGATTCCCTTTCAATAGGGCATCATGTTGGAAACTATGTGATTGCCAAGCCTGAGGTCTTTATCCAGATGTGATTCAGTGCACAGAGATGATGGAAGCTTGCACCACCCTATCTCCTCCATGAACCCTTAACCCTGAGAATACTATGTATTTCCCATAAATATTCACTCATTTTCTTCCCCTCTGAGTCTCTCAAGAAGGAGGCCATCTGAGGCTCCCATAATGTATTTGTCTTCTCAAAAACTACGTTCACACAACCAACCAGTGTCTAAAAATCCAGCACATAACAGCAGCTTTCATTGACAGACACTGTAATTTAATGGAAAAAGCTAATTTAACTAAGAAAAGCTCCAGATACCTAATCCCTTTCATTCTGCCCCCTTACTATGTAATGTACATTTCTCCAAAAGTCAGTTTCTGATCTATCACGATCAGTAGCTTATTTTAAACAGTAAATGGGAATGAAGGGATTGACAGGACCAGACTGCTTTCTACACGCAGAAAACGCTATTGGGTGTGGTCAGTGAAGTGGTTAAATGAAAATGGGGCCCTTGCCTTGATCCTTCAGCATCCATGTGCACACTCTGAGACAGGATGCATCATATTCAGATTTACCTAAACCTCTTTCTCTAGTTCCTATTACGGAAGTAATTGTTTGGGGCTTTTCCACAACAAAAAACACTGCAGGCTTGTTTTGGATTCAAAGCAATTCATCTCAGAAAAAATAACTTTCTGCATGCTTATCTACTTTTTGCTGACTTAGAATGACTCCAGATCATTCAAGTGCATTCCCTGTTTTTTAATGGGATTTAATTTTGCCTCTGGACTGGAAGACTACTTTCAGATGATGACATGGGTATAAAACAGAAAATAATCTCCCAATGTGAATAAAAACAAGTTAAAAAAAAATGCTCGTCCCTGGCTAAGATCCATTCTCCCACTTAAAAAAGTGTCTATATTCCGCTGATTTAGGGGAAAGAAAAATATCTCTTGGCTTGACTATCCCTAGTATGAGAAATGTAATATCCACGAGTGTGAAATACACTGTTCATCATCCTATTAAATGTTATGTTTTCCACTGTCACCAAAGGCTTGACTACACCAATTCCTATTCAAACTATTACTCTGATTTGGTTCTGTGTGGGCTATAGAAAACAACAGTTACACAAATTGAGGACCGAGTTCTTACTATATTAGCCAGAAATGGGGAATACACAATAACTTCCAGTAGAAATGAGCATCCAGAGGTTTTTCCTGCACGACAGCACCTATTTTACATCTCTAGGGTGAACTTCTGCCCTTGGTAAAATTAATGAACATTTTCCCACTCATATCAACAGAACTCCATTTCTAATATACATAATCTCATGATAAGCTTACCTCCAGTTGTGGTCCTGGTATACACGCATCAAGGACTTTGAGAAGGCTGAAGGGAAATGTGATCACAAATGTCTATTAAAAAGGTCACCAACTCCCAAGTGTGCAGGGGTACTTTTGCACTGTATGGATCTCAGAAAGCTCAGGCCCCTACCAAACTCCACCCCACGATCATTATTTCCTGTGTGCAAGAGGAGGCTGTACATTCTGAACATTCTCATAAAGCCAGTCACCCATCTACAGCACTTCATCTGGTGGTGAAAATCTAGCTCTAGCTTTTCAGACTGAGATCCAGAGGAATCTGTAGTTTGGCAAGTTTCTTACCAGCCCATTAGTCACATACGTTTAATTTTCACTGTCTTTTAACTTACTCTACCTTATAGGCTAGATGGAGCATTCGAGAAAAGGCAAGGAAGTCATTTTCACCAGGTCCCTTCATGACGAAACTTATAACAGTATCACGATGACAATTAATCATCATGGAAGTCTGGTCACACAACAGAACTTATTATACTTTAATCTTACATTCTTTATCATCTAGAAAGAGCAGTTGAAAATATACTGTGAAAATCAACTAACAGTATCTGAATGAAGGGAAAGTAACGATATGACCTAAACAATCTTTCCTATCTCTAGTTTCCATCATGTAGGTTTCCATAGTAGTCAGAAAGGTTCTCTTTTCAGTGCCCAGCTGCAGCTCAACTTTGCTTAAGTGCTGTAATTTGGAAGCATATTTTAGGTTATACAAATGATTAATTGCAGACAATGAAATATACAGTTTAGACCCAAACAACAGAACCAAAACCAGTTAATTTGTCAAGCACTGCTTCGGACTACATTTAGTATATGCTCTTCTTGAGATGGCTTTGACAAAATAACTTCTCTCCAGAAACATAAATCAGAGTACTATTGACTGAATCTTAAAAAGACCTCCAAAGACTTATTCAGTCATCCCTAGCTGAAATCTTTTCTTCCTCTAGGATTTATATCACAAACAATGAGTGAGTTCCTGTCACCAGGTATCTGGGATTCTACTTAAATATCAGATGAAGATGTGGGAAGTTGCCCGCTGGTGAAACTCCCCTAGGTTTTTTTAATTTCAGACAGAATCTGTAGACTTGTTCAAGGTATTCTTTATCCCTTGTCAAAGAACAAACACCACTTGTACTTAACTAGTTAGATACACACACTTAGGATGTTGTTTTGAAACAATAAAACCTTCGTATCATGAAGATAGGCTGAGAAAGTCAGGGCTGTTCAGCCTGGAGAAGGCTCATAGCAGCCTTCCAGTATCTGAAGGGGGCCTATAGGGATGCTGGGGATGGACTCTTCATTAGGGACTGTAGTGATAGGACAAGGGGTAATGGGTTAAAACTTAAACAGGGGAAGTTTAGATTGGATATAAGGAGGAAATTCTTTCCTGTTAGGGTGGTGAGGCACTGGAATAGGTTGCCCAGGGAGGTTGTGAATTCTCCATTCCTGGCAGTATTCAAGGCCAGGTTGGACGAAGCCTTGGGTGATATGGTTTAGTGTGAGGTGTCCCTGCCCATGGCAGGGGGGTTGCAACTTGACAATCTTAAGGTCCTTTCCAACCCTAACTATTCTGTGATTCTATACACAATGCATTTCCCAAATCAACAGACCACCCAGAAGTAGATTTCTGAGATAAGCAGCACTTCTGCAAGGAAATAAGACTGTCAAAGCAGAAATAGAGTATATGTTGCTGACCAATAACATGGATGCAAATCAAATGCCAGTGCAAGGCTAACAACACACACAGTATGCTTGGTATGAAAAAACAATAGTTCAGGATGTCTCTTTTTTGTTTTTAAATAAGGAAGAAAAATTTTTTCTTTTTAATTTTTTAAGAAGTATGAAAATGATGTGAAGAAATTCAAGTAAAAATAATTGTAGATGGCAGCAGAGATGAAATAGTTTTTTCACATAATCAAATACATCCCCCGTCAATGGAAAATTATCTTTGACTGTATTTTCCAGCATTTTATCAGGGCTAAGTTACAGGAGTTACACATAAGTTTCATTTATGGAGAGGACATTGGTCTTTTCTCATTGCAAGGATATAGAAGTTGATTGCATTCAAAACAGTTTACATAAAATTTGTATTATCATTAATTTCGATGCTTATTATAGAGGTTAGAAATACAGACTCATCTTCAGCACTCAGAACACCATTAACCAAGGTGACAGAATATTCAACAGTATTTAATGTGAATTTACCCCCTTCTAGACACTGCAAGATTTCAGATAAAGTACAGCAGAAACTGATTCCAAACTGGTTAATGGAAATTAAAAGAAAGTGCTATGATCATCACATAATTTCTTACCACATTCATCTGATAATCATGAAAAAGATTATCTTTTTATATCCATTTTGAAGGTGAATTAGGAAAGTAACCATTCCTATAGCTACGTCTTTAATTCTATAGTGTGAACTCAAAGATATGAAGCAACTTGCTTTGAGAAAATACTACTTTGCTTATGACTGTCTTCTTTCATCCAAATGATCCTTATCCTGCTTAGAATTAATAAATCTATGAAAGGCAACTCTTATCTCTTTAATAATAATTGCCTTGAAATATACACTTCATAATAGGAAGAAATTACATACAGCACAGCACATGAAAGTAAAAGTCTGCAGATTAGATTTACAATATATTACAAATGCCTTTGTGTGTGTCAGCATACTCTTTATTGAAAAGGTTTCTATCTCTTCCACTATGCTGATAAAGTAGATTTTTTTAAATGATAAATGGAGAACTTTTAGGGAACTATATGCAGTGCTGTGTCTCTATTGCCAAAGGATATAAACTTCTACTTACTTTTTGAAATGACTCCCTTAAAAAAAGCTACTGTATAAAACAGCTCAACCAAGTCTTCCCTTTTATCTCTTTTTATGTGGATCCCAATTAGAGTCACAACACTTACAAGTTGCCACGTAATTGCAATAGATTTTCAATTTCCCCAAGCAGTTATGCTAGCATTTGTGTTGTTCTCTCATATCTGAAGGGGGTCAGGAGAAGGATGGATACAGAAAAGAGAAAACCACAGGTACCTGATCCAGTTTCCAGTGGAACTCTGCGGGACGGAAGGTGTCAGCCTGATCAAAGTCTTTGCGCAACAGGAACACCAATCGGCAGTTGTGCACATACAGGGCATAGTGATGCCGGTTCATCTCTGAAACATAAGATGGTGACTAGTTGGTGATCTGAATTACCACAAACACTTCTGTTTAGGTGTATGTGTCTGAAAGCAATACAGACCTGACAGAGAAACCCCAACCAAATAAAAAAACCCCGAAGAATTGACTTTTCTCAGTATCATGGATCATTCGCAGGGAAGCCTCACACATTGTAAGTATCTTCCTCAATTACACTTTATTAGTTTTGATTATTAAAACTAACAAAATTCAAACTGATATTTAATCTAACAAATTTCAATACAGAATTTGAAGTGGTTTTATCAATCTAAATAATGAAGACAAATTAAACATAATGTAATTATTTTATCCACTATTCCTATCAAATCTACAAATGTGTTCACAGAGATTACCCAAGAAGAGAACCAGAGCTTGAAACCTGGGTAGGTATCAGTCCCCTCAATAAGCTATCAAGTCGGCAATGCTTGGAGTGGCACCACCTAATTTCAGTAACTTTTTTTCAGACCAAATTAAATGAGCAATGGTAACACTCCACAGACTTCATTATGGCCTTTGCCTAACAATTTTTAAATATACAGACTGACCTGTCTTGTCAGAGTTGCAGAGAATAGTCTCTTTCTCAGCTCTTAGTCCTGGACTAGGTCCATGTTTCATCCACAGAGTGATGGTGAATTGATCAGTTAAATTCTTCGGTACTATTCCATCTGGGATTTTGGCTCCTTGCTTTCCATCAAATTTAAAAATCATGTCATTATTATCCATGAGAAGCCCAGCTGTCCAGTTAGTTGTTGCACTGGGAGATGGTAACAGGTCAATGGCACCTGAGGAAGCTCCTGCAAATGATATATAATGAATAACATGATGAGAGACTAATAAAAAAGCAGTAAAGATTAATTTAATATTGGCTAGGGTTCTGATTCACACTCTTCAGGTTATTTTTACTACTCCAATGGTCCTACTAGCTTCACTGTTATATCCCTCACACACTGTAGAATACTGACTACAATAAGTCAGTAAAGAGTTCTTTAGGTTAAATGTGTTGCACAGAAAACTATGCAAGGTATTTTAACATTTCCTTTCTTGAAACTTCTCATTATTTTCTAAAATTCATTAAGGACATCTCCTCAGTTATTTCAAGAATTGCTAAGACTAAACCTAAATTCTCTACACCCAGCTGGGAAGTTTTTACATCTTCCCTCTCTGACAGGATGGGGATACATGGTCTGTGGGGATGACTGTTGCAAAATACAGTACAGTGGGGATAAATGCAGGACAAGTCACCTAATGTCCAGTAGACAGCCATGGATATTCACAATAATGGTGGTATGCATGTCAATACATACAGAGTATTCACCCTAAACCAAATACCACTTTTAACGCTGGCTTCTGACAAATAACATGAGGGTTGTAACTTCATGTGTAACTTCAAATGGTACTCAAAATTCAGATTAGCCCCCCTGCATCCCAGAAGTAAACCATTAACAATGTGGTCTCCAGCTACATGGTATTTTTTTTGTTAGAGTTAATTGAGGAGAAAAAAATCAACACCCAGAAATGGAAACACTGTGGTGCCAAGCTCTGATAGAATAGCACAGTTCTTTACAGCTCCGGGTTTTCTTACAGCTTAACAATTGTCAGACACTTTTAAAAACACTTAATGAGCTACCCAGTGCCTTTACTTAGCTGGTGACAGCATTTAGCAGAAAGTATGCTTCCCAAAGCACCAAACCCCCCTTGTATTCTTGTTGATGCTTTGGCAATTGAAAATACAGAGAACAAACCGCAATCAGTAAGGTATCTCACCCTCCTTTAGCATCCAAGAAGAGAAACAAGATCCCAATGCTCTGCAGGAGTGCAGCATTTTAAGCCCAGAATGTGTGGAATTGTATTCTATGGATTTTTTAAAAAGTATTATAAGAATAAGAAAAGATATAAGATATAACATTCCTGTCATTAATTACTGAAAACAGTTCTCCAAAATTTATTACTGTACAATGAGGTTATTTTAAAGGGATAGTAATAGCAAGCCTAACACCTGTATGTTTAGAATTTGAGCACAAAGTATATTTATTACATAAACTGCCATTCTGGATAATACACCACTCTGCATTGCTTAATACACAGATGTTATGAACAGGAATACATCGAACTCAGTTTATCCAGATGGCCCCATTTGGGATAAACTTCCTATTTTTTTTCTTTTAAATTCAACTCACTAAAAAATAAAATTATTTTGTGTTGATTTTAATGGCCATTTTTTAAACTTACAAGGAACAGAAACTGCTTGCACCATGGTGTATATCAAAGGAAATATGCTTTTAAATGGGCACATGCTTATTTAGGAAAAATATGGGCTCCATGAAGAAGCTTCATCCCTCCCTCATTCTATGCACTCTGGGCAGAAAAATCTGGAAATAATATTTTCCCACTAGAAAATGTGTGCCTGTGGGAAAACGCCAAAATGGAAGCCTCATATTGCTTGCTAAACTGATTCAACAAGATTCTCAACTACCTTATGTTCCCAGCTTAAGGTCAGGCTTGCGTAAAAGCATTTGCCTAATGAGTACCAAGCTCAACACGTTATACTTTATCTGCCCATACTTTTTGGAAATTTATGGGTTACTTTGGAACTTGTGTTTACCCTGCCCTGAGAACCACTGGATTATGTGCTTGAGAGATTTAGCTGGTAGAAGTCATAGTTTCAGTCCTAGAAAACTTAATCAGCATCCCAAACTCTTCTCTCCACCCTTCATGTTTGTGCTGTGAACTTTGTGCCAGGATAAGCACGTACTGATGCTGCTTGCTGAACTGGACAAGACTGTTGGCTCAGCTGTAAGCTAACCATCCAAATAAAGCTAAGCCCAAATTAGTACTTTTCAATCTGACGAAGAACTTTCTCTTGAGTGCCCTACAAAGCTACACAAACATGGGTAAAGGAGAGGCCAGGAACTACCATCATAGCTGTAGCACAGCTTTAATCTGATACTCAGAGTTTCCATATTTCAGTTTGTCATCTGCTATCAGCGTGTAAAAATGTTTATCAAACTCCTATTACGAGCTTCTACCATACCTGCTTTTCTCTATGAAGATATGAAAACCATGTACAAAAAAATACTCTTTCAGCAGTGAGAATCCCCCCCTCCCTTTAAATATTCTTTTTACATTCTGTCTATTCTCTCAGGTGCTTTACATCCTGTTCCTTCACAGATGTGCTGAGTAAAAACTGGAAGCTCAGCAGTAACATTAGACAGTACATCTGTCCATCTGTTTAAAGGCTACCTCCGACTTCCACAATGGCACTGACAGACCTCCTGAAATGTTTTTGATAGTTCTGCTTTTCATCAGCTTAGGCCTAAACACAGTGTAGACAATGAATTAAGACTGGGCTAGTACTGAGAAAAATCTAGTTTATTCAGGAGAAAAAGAGAAAGACTTGAAATAGCCTTTTTTATTGCTCAAGTGTCAGCAGGTAAGGTAGTCAAGCCACACTCTACAAAGTTAACCCCTCAGACTTTGCACAACCTTCCTCCACTATGGAATTTTATAGCAGCAGAATGTACCTACTTTCATGCCTACACTTCAAATGATAATATTGTCAGAGATAGTTGTTATTAGTTTTATGTCAATGTAATCATTTGGTGGTTTTGAACTTGTACACAGTGATCTGCTCTAAATGATCGTGCCATTTGCAGTTCAAGTCTCTATCAGGCACAAAGCAACGTTCTTTTTGCTGCCAACACAGGTTCTTACAGGAGGCAAAATACTTGACTTCAGCTGTAACATACTTATTTTTATTAAAATGCTAGTATTTTATGAAAAATAGAGCCCCAGCCTTGACATGACAAAAATGAATACTGTTGGCAGATAGGCATTCTCCTCCTTCTCTAGGATCTCAGTCAGCTGGCTAAAGATACAGCATTAAAATGACAATTGTCTCTGTAATCTTAACTAAGCAATTTTAAAGTTGAAAATATTCCAGTTCTGTTAGGCGGCTACTCCTGTCACTCACCATTACCTCACTTTCCCAGTCTCCATAGGTAATTGGCAGTAACAACTGCACACTATTTTTCCCTGGGAATTGGCTCTCCATTTTTAACAATTTAGTAACACTGGCTGAAAATGTTAATTTACAAAATTCTCTCTTAGAGATTAGTGCATTGATCCTAACACATCTACAACATGGTTGTGTGGTTATCAAAGCAAATGCAAGCCATACACTTAAGTACCCCAAACAAAAATCCATGCATTTAAAGAGAAAAGAAGAACTGAACATTTGCTACTGTAGCTCAGACAGGATCAGGGTAAAGAGACATTGGAGGAGATGAGAATCAATGTTCCAAACCATCAGGGCTTCAGATGAGGACTTTAAGATGACAAGATTTTAGAAGAGGAGAGACAGCCGATCTCAAAAGGCACAAGATGAATGGCTTAACATGTGGCCGCTGCTCTGCTGTATATATGATCTTGAAGTCACAAGATCGTATCAGCATCCTCAAGTATTTCATCTACCTTTCAAAATTTGTATCTTTTAGACTAAATTATCAAAAAGCAGGAAAAGGGTAGAAAATAATAAGGAAACCTTTCTCCACCGGGATCTCTCTTTTCTCAAATTCACATTTCTTAAGCTTTTTGCCTAAATGACAGCCCCAGATGTTCCTTTACTTGTTTGCTTTGACTCTGACACAGTACTCAGCAGCAGAAGAGAAAGCTAAGTCAGGAAGACTGAAACATGAGATTCAATTCTCATTAAATCCTATGGTCTTTCTATGATGGCAAATCTATATCTAAAGTCTCTCTACACATCACATAACTATTACAAGGCAAAGGGGAAAAAAAGTAACAAAGACGTGGAATAAGGAAAGAGAAAAATGGGGGAAGAGAAGGGAAGAAGAAGAAGAGGAGAGGAAAAACCTGAAGCAAAGATGGAAAAGGCGTGAAAAACAGTGAAAAAATGGAAAAAAATGGAGAACCAGTCATAATTTCACCACTCCCTTCATTTTCATTGCCACAATCCAAAATGAACAGCTGCGCTAAATCCACATATTGCATGATTACTAGTCACAAGGAAGCAGTTTATTTACGACATATCTATTTATCTGCCACAACGCTGTTATTATTATAACAACTGAAAGCCATGTCCATACCACACAGTTTCTGGAGAGATTTTTCTGAGTATGTTTCACGATCACAGCCCTTTCCAATGTAGTTAGTGTGTAATTCAATGGTGGTGTGTATTGAAGACACTGGTCCATCACAGGTTTCTAGATGAATGCCAGGAAACAAAGGTTTGCTGCCAGAACCAGGCTTGTATTCAATCCGTTTGTTCCAGTCTGGAAAAAAAAAAAAAAAAAAAAAAAACACAAGAAAAAGATCCAAGAGTGATTAAAAAAGGGAAGGGAGTTACACAGTTTTAAATGACAGATTGTTCTCAAAGGTCACCGTCTCTGTCAGAAGCTTTGAACCTGGCATCAGTAAATTACTGTCCTAAAAAACCTGGATTTTGCCCTTCTTTGTAAAAGGGTGTCAGGCTCAATTAAAAGTAATAGTACTGCTGCTAGGGTCACACAGGCATTGAGTACACACATATCCTGACAAGAAGTGCTAATTGGTAACAGTCTGGATCTCCAGTGTCCATGTCCTGTGACAGACTACAAGGGATGAGGCTTGCTGCTGCACTGAATCTGGTCAGATTTCATAGTTTTGTGACACAGAACAAGTATCTCCAAAGACCAGGCTATATACATCAGTCTCACTGGACCGTGACCAAAACACATCTGCAGTGTCATTTGTCATCAAATGTCTTACCACCTTTGTGAAGTATTAATGACAGAAAGTTACAGCTGAAAGGACTACTCTCACTTTCAGCCAGAACTGACTCTTCTGTGGTTTTGCTTATACAGACGTCTCACAGCCCACAACACTTCAATAATCACCTGCCTCAGGCAGCCACCTGGACAAGCCATACATACCACTATGCTTCTCAACTGAAGCATTTCAATTTAAATCCAATCAATTGCCGTGTTTGAAACCTGCTTCAGAAAAAAGGAAACCAAGCAGCATTACTTAAAACCATGCATTTCAGCTATCTTTACAGTTCATATTTTCAAAGAATCAATATATGAGGATTCATAAATCACAGAATCCCAGACTGGTTTGGCTGGACCTTAAAGCTCATCCAGTTCCAACCCCTGCCATGGGCAGGGACACCTTCCACTAGAGCAGGTTGCTCCAAGCCCTGACCAACCTGGCCTTGAACACTGCCAGGGATGGGGCATTTACCACTTCTCTGGACAAGCTTTGTCAGTGCCTCACCACCCTCACAGGGAAGAACTTCTTCCTAATGTCTAATCTAAACCTCCCATCTGTCAGTTTAAAGCCCTTTCTCGTTGTCCTATCTGTGCCAGCTGGATACTTGGCTAGAGGTTATTCTGGCTTTTTTTTTTTTTTTTACTTTACACACTTGACAGCTTTGCTGAAATATTTTTTTTTATTGAACGCTTTTCTCTTTATTACTTTGAAAATTAAAACAATCTAGAATAAAAATACCACTATACACAAAGCATTTCAAACAAGATCATAAATGTCTCTGTAGTTCTGCCAAAAGAGACACTTCTTATCATGATTTCTAAAACTCCCTGTATCTTCAAAACAGCAGCCTCACAGTTCTAGATGCTGTACACTGATATTTGGGACAGCAGTGCACTGTCTTCGCAAAACTACAGTTTTCTTTCAACAGCATGAATCTACTGAAAAGTGCACACGTCACCGGACTATCAGATGCTGCAGCTACCTCAATAAATACCTGCTGTACAAAAGGTATTCTCCACACGTGAAACACCAATGGCTGTAAGACATTTCCAAAGAGTACACGCTTTGGTTCTTTGCTATTTGACTTTCTACTTTGAACAAAAGATTAAGGACTTCTTAGTGAAACAGGCACAGGGTAACAGCTCTGTAACATTTTTTCTTGGGCAGCATTCTCTCTCTGTATTTCTGGACCCAAATTGTGCTGATCTAAAACCCAAACCAACCCAAACACACTTAAAATTATTTTCATTTCCCATCTGGGAAAAAACCCAAATCCCCAAGGCACACAGTGCAATCACCTCATGTGCTCTGCTCCCCTGGTTCCTGGTTAACTCTCGTCAAAACTTCTGAAAAAGGCCATTTTTCACTTGTAAGAAAGGAAATCTCCACACACACCTTGCAAAGAATTCTGAATATTCTTTCTTGAGGGAGATCGTGGCTAAACAAAACTAACATTATTAAAGTATAACATTAATGTTAAAATGGATCATGTGCTATGCCTTGGAAAGGAAAGTTAGAAGACAGACTAGTAGTGCACATATGCCTGGCCCTTTCTTAAACACCTGTGGTTCTGTGAAGATCCTGAATTACTCAGATCAGGCAGGTCTGTTCAGGTTATCTAAGCAGTTTCCCATTCGTGAAATTGGCCATTTTACAAAGGAGCATGTTTGGTAGGATGTCCCCTAGTTAACTCCACAAATGAGCTAGCAAGCATCAGCAGAATGCTACTTCCAGAATCCATCAATGTCACTGTGTGCTGCCCAGAATGTTATTTTCTATAAACAATTTGCTAACTTTTGAAGGGTCAAGCGGTCACCACTGACAGGAAGAAAATGTTTTTTCCCTTAGGAGCCAGGTATGCAGCTTTGCAATGGTTGCCACAGCTCCTACCACTGCCAGCCAACATGTACTGTGCTAGGGAGGAAATTAAGCAAAGATTTAAGTAGCAGCCAGTATCATGCTTCTTGTGTGCGTTTAGTAACAGAAAAAAATGACAGAAATAACATGCATAAATACGATTTAGGACATTTTTTATTCAATTCTATTTCCCCCTATTTTTAAATTAACATATGCAAGCATATAATATATATATGCACACACATATATATGTACACATTAAATAGGAATGTTCTTAACCAACACTGCAAAATAATCTTTAAAATTATCTTTAAAGTTCAGTTCTTTTTAAAGGAGAAAAGACAGTTTTGCATTCAGCACCAACAGTCCTATAGCAACATTAAAAAATCAAACCACAAACATTTCTAGGTTTGACAGCTAATCTACAAATCTGTAACATACAAATTACAGGACCCTAAATCTGATGCCACAAACATATTTAGGCATATTAAATATGATGTTTTGTTAAGCAGATGATAATCAGAAAGTCTAACCCAGTTAAAGCTTCTCCATAGCAAAGAGAAGACTCAAACTTCCCAAGCCCTGCTAAGGCACCACCATTTGCGGAGAGATTTGAATGCAGATCTCACAAGCGTAAAGAAACATCCATAAACGCCATTCCTTTCTGCAGCATGCTGAGTTTAATAAACAACAAGAGACAGAAATTTGGGCTACTGCATGATAGTAACGGTAAAGTCTGCTGTTGCAAGAGTTAGTGAACCAGAATGTAAGAGGAGTTGTGCATGAATCAGTGACAATGAATATTCCATCAAATGACAAAATCCCAAGGCCTAATGGTGCTGAATTATGCAAGATAAACATATAAGGATCTAAAAAACAGCAGCATCGGTTAAGCTATTATGTGTTATGAGACTGCATTTGAATATTAACAGGTATTTTACTAATATTTCTGAAGAATAATAGGTATTTCCTGCAGCAAACTGGGTGTCAGAGCCCCAAGTGGACCAGTAGAAGTCCTAGTGAGCCTCCATAAGCCTCATCTGAGGCATCCTGGAGCTCTATTTAAGCTCAGGCCCAGGACTTCACTCATGGCCTGACCTATAATGCTGTAGGGGTGCTGGTCTTGCTTAGTCACAGCATTGGCCATAGGGCCCTTTTATCAAAAAGTGAACCCATGGAGAAGCTCTCTGGCTTGACAGCCCAGCCTCATCACTACGGACCTGCCCACTGACTTGATCCTAACTCTTATCCCTGATTGACTTCCTGAGACCTGCCTCCTCCCCAGGAACATGCCTGAGGATCTGGGCTCTTGGTTTAACCTGGCCCCCATCTCTGGGTCTGCCCTGCTGACCTCAGTTGAGTGAGGGGTTTAACGTTGCTGATGAAGGCCCTGTCAGCTCTGTTATTACAAGTGACTGCTGGCTTCCCTTCCTTTACAGAGTAGCCCTGCTCTTGCTGCTTCCTGACACCAGGTTTAGACGGGGTTAGAGACTTTTAATGCCTTCAGAAGGACAAGCTACCACAAAAAGATGTTATGGGAAGAGGCAGCTGCTTAGTTATCCTGAAGAACAAGGACCGTGCCTAGCATTTGGATCCTGGTACTCCAAGGGATTTCTCTACTGAGGAGTATGCAAAGAGCTTCCCAAATTCCAAAAGAGAGGCTGTGAAACACTACATGGATTAGTTCCTGAAATCAACTGAACTGAGGATAAAAAATCTTGTGTGGAAAGTCTGCAACTTTTAAGCACATGGTGTGAGACTGCAAAAGTTTTTACATGCAGAGTACAAAAAAAAATCATAGGGAAAACTTCAAACCTAACTGCATATATCACAGTGCTTTAACTTTTGAGCAGAAGAAATATGACTGGAAACACCAACTAACAGCTACAACTCAGAGATAAGTACCTCAAGGAAATGATAATTGCCTAGTGAAGCTCATGAAGATCTTGCACTGAAAACTGAAAAATGGAAAGTCCTTTTCATAGTTGTAAATGCAGAAAGGTAAACAAAAGACTGAATAGCTACAGAGATACATGGAAATAAGAATCCAGTTAAACAGGTCTAAAATTCATGTAGTAGTTAAATTATAACATATATGCAGATCTGCCTAAAGAAGGGGCAATAGTGGGTTACTCTGAAAATTTCATGGTAAATGGGGAAATAGCTAGTAAAGATCCCTGTGAATCTGCCTTGGGATTGTTACTTGACAGTTCCATTAATGGTCTTGCCACAAAACCAGGACTGTGTTAATTACTGACAAAATTGGAAGGCGATTCTACAATGGAAGTCGATATAGAAAGAGGGTGAGAGTACCCCAAGCACATAGTAAGATGACCTTGAGAATGGGTGTTACAGAAATACTCCTTCATAGTAATGACAAAAAGTGACAGTTCATGGTCAGGAACTTTGGCAAACTGCTGAGTCATCACTAGAAAATGACACATGGAAAAAGAGCTGATTCCAGTAAAACCAGTAACAGCATGTCCATGAGCCACCAGACTGATATGGCCAGGCAAAAGAAAGTTAGGTTTGAAATATATAAAGCACTGTGTTTCCAGTAAGTGGCTATGGTAAAAGTAACATGTGGAAGCAACCAAAGTATTCCAGAAAGATGTATATAGCTCTAATGAATACTCAGGATTTGTTGAGGAAAGGAGAGCGTATCTTACAAATCAGACTGAAACAGCTATGACTGTTTAAGTATGTCTGGTAGTCAAAATTTAAAATACTGCTGAAACAAGTACAGAAACAAGTACAAACTGAGGTAAACTTGAAACTCAAAAAAATCACAAGTACTCAGAAGTTCAACTGACCTTCAAATGTCTGAAATGGGTATTTAAAGAGTGAGTATTCTACTAAAACAGTCTCATTCAAGTTACTAGCTGAATGTAAGCATTTTGTTATGGTGACCTTGTTTTAGGGATGTATGGCTAATGCACACACAGCAGCTCCAAGACTAAACTGGCGTAAGGGCTCCCTGCTTTGCAGTATATTTAATTTTTAAAAACATGGGTAAACATCTTATAGCTCAGACAAGCACTGAATTTTAAATTGTTAAGTATAAATAAAAATTGATTTTTGTTTATTGCAGAAGATATCTGTGCCTTTAAAATGGTTCCTGAAGACTAGGAATTCTGCACTTGACCACCTTCCTCCAAATAACCAATTGCTTTAGTAATCACATTGCTCCTTGATAAAAGCACTGACAGCTCAAAACCCAATAGGTATGGTTTTCTTCTGTAATTGGATTTTACTAGAAAACCACATGAATGCAATTCTAAAATTACTCAGTATCTACTGCAAATAGTATCTATAAAGTATGTTGACTCAGAAGTGATCTAAGAACACTTGGCTTCTAAAAAGAGAAGGTTCTGCCCTTCTCTGAACAAAAGGAAGACTGAATTTCAGACGGAAAAGAGAGCTGATCTGACCTGTATGTGGCCTCTGAATGACTATTCAACATTAAAGAGGTGGTAAGAATCTGCCTTTTGGTGGTAGGCAAAGCCCTAGGTCATGCTAGTGAGCACTATATGCCTTGAAATATAAATAACATGCAGTATCTTTGATACATTAACTAATCCTATTAAATATTTTTATACTCTATTAGGTAAATAACAGACATTTATTTCAAAGCTATTTCCAAACAAACACTAAGTGGAGGTAACTGAATTTTTAAGGAACATTTTTTTATAGATTAATTCTTAAATAATTTCTACTTTGTTAACTCAGGTAATTGGGTAAAGTATGTATATGGGCTTATAGGACTGTAGGAAATCTTTTCAGGTTGGTAAAACACTTCAAGCTGGATGCTGTTTTCTAATGAGAGTCCTAGTTTTCTCTTAAACTGGAGGTTAGTAAGCACTGCTTATGTAAGGGCCATATGAAATTTGGCAGTCCTTTTTGGCCACAGAAGACAAGTTTTAATTTTTGGACTGCTGTCTTTTCTACATGTGTATCTCCCCAAGAAACACATTCAATTTCCCTGTCTGTTTCAGAAAAGGTCAAGTCCTCTGGTTATTTATTGGGATATTCTGCTGAATTGGTTTTGAGGAGCCTTTTTTGGTTTATGCCTTAATATCTCCCTCCTGTCTGAAATCAGTTGCCTTTTAGAGAACAACCTGACTTTTGGTTTAACTATCAATAGCTGATCAGACTTCTAGTAATCTCAAAACATATTTTAAGTCTTTGACGGCTCAAAATAACACTTCTCTTTTTATCCCCATGGAGTAAATAATTCTCTAGAGATCATGGTATAGGAACACCACTGTAGCCAAATTCAAGCATAATGAAAGCTACCCAAGTGTATCCTTCCTTACCTGAGATGCTTTAGATAAGCTGCTTTAAACTTTCTTATACATTGTGGATTTTTTAAAGTCACTGCTTTATACATGTGCTGTTTTCCCTATTTTCTTATCATCACTGACAAATAAGCTGGCAGCCTCCCATGTTAAACACCTAGTGTTAACCAAACCATCAGCCACATACAGTTCTGACTTCTAGAAGAGAATAAATTTTGCATGCATCAAATAACAATAGCTGAATTCTAGCTCTTCATTAAAAACTTAAATACCTTATAAACACTTCACAATACCTAACATGAACAAAGCATCAAAAGATTAAAACAAACCTTATTTGAGGTTGTTTCTATTACTTCTATTGGCTACCTGGTGTCTTTACCTGCTGCCTGATGGGATCAGCAATGACTATCTGTTCTATGATGCTTGAACTATAAAATTAGTATGATAATACTGGGCAATATAAACACTCCATTAGTAAGGTCTCTTTGCAAAAAATAATAAATGAAATACAAAATGGAAATTATATGGAAATTTAAAAAAAACAACTGTGCCCATTTTTATAAGAATTCCAAGCTAATTCAGGAGTATTTATTTGAAATTACTCTACAATATTGAAACAGAACATTTTGACAATGTGTAAAGAGACCATACGGGTTTTATAAAATAAATCATGGGGTTCTGAACAATAAGACCAGTTAGAAAATGTGAAAATGGTTCATAGGTGTTCTACTGGGCTTTTTTATATGAGAAAATGAACATGAGCCAGCAGTGAGCTCTTGCAGCCCAGAAAGCCAACCATATCCTGGGCCGCATCAAAAGGAGTGTGACCAGCAGGTCGAAGGAGGTGATCCTGCCCCTTTATTCTGCTCTCATGAGACCTCACTTGGAGTATTGTGTGCAGTTCTGGTGTCCTCAACATAAAAAGGACATGGATCTGTTGGAACAAGTCCAGAGGAGGGTCACGAGAATGATCAGGGGACTGGAGCACCTCCCATATGAAGATAGGCTGAGAAAGTTGGGGCTGTTCAGCCTGGAGAAGAGAAGGCTGCGTGGAGACCTCATAGCAGCCTTCCAGTATCTGAAGAGGGCCTATAGGGATGCTGGGGATGGACTCTTCATTAGGGACTGTAGTGACAGGACAAGGGGTAATGGGTTAAAACTTAAACAGGGGAAGTTTAGATTGGATATAAGGAGGAAATTCTTTCCTGTTAGGGTGGTGAGGCACTGGAATAGGTTGCCCAAGGAGGTTGTGAATGCTCCATCCCTGGCAGTGTTCAAGGCCAGGTTGGATGAGGTTTAGAGCGAGGTGTCCCTGCCCATGGCAGGGGGGTTGGAACTAGATGATCTAAAGGTCCTCTCCAACCCTAACTATTCTATGTGTTCTGTTCTATGTGGGTCTGTGGGGAAATTGTACATCCCTAAACATTTAAAAGATGGTTCTGCTCTAGGTTAAGACTGTGAAAATGGAAACATGATATTGCACACATTTCACTACAAGATCTTAAGATCCTTTCCAACCCTAACTATTCTATGATTCTATGAAGACAGATTGAGAAAGTTGGGGTTGTTCATCCTGGAGAAGAGAAGGCTGCGCAGAGACCTCATAGCAGCCTTCCAGTATCTGAAAAGGGCCTACAAGGATGCTGGGGAGCAACGCTTCATTAGAGACTGTAGTGACAGCACAAGGGGCAACGGGTTAAAACTTAAACAGGGGAAGTTTAGATTGGATATAAGGAGGAAGTTCTTTACTGTAAGGGTGGTGAGGCACCATAATGTGTTGCCCAAGGAAGCTGTGAATGCTCCATCCCTAGTGGTGTTCAAGGCCAGGTTGGACAGAGCCTCGGGTGACATGGTTTAGTGTGAGGTATCCCTGTCCATGGCAGGGGGGTTGGAACTAGATGATCTAAAGGTCCTCTCCAACCCTAACTATTCTATGTGTTCTGTTCTATGTGGGTCTGTGGGGAAATTGTACATCCCTAAACATTTAAAAGATGGTTCTGCTCTAGGTGAAGACTGTGAAAATGGAAACATGATATTGCACACATTTCACTACAAGATCTGCTAAACCAGGGCTTCTCATTTTACAAAGAAAACATTTTTTTCCTTCTAAATGTCAGTCTGCAAATTTGACTTCAATTACAACAGCCAAACTATTTTTTCCTCTCTCAAGCATTCTCTTTAAAACTTACAATTATGAAAGTCAGTTTAGTCCTGTATGACATCCACATTATGTGGCTTACATCCAGTTGGTTTGACACTAATCCAGCCCTCATTTTCATCTTAATTCCATATAATCTGTGTCATATCTACCTTCCTAGTACACTGCCAGCTGCATTTTTCTCAAGTTTAGACAGAGTAGATTGTAGATCCTTGCAACCTTTTCAGAAAATCAATTCCCACTGACATGCTTCAGTATGGAGACAGTAATCAGGATAAAAAATGCCTTTCACTCCCACTGCCAGTGGAGCATGCTTTGACTCACGCATGCATACGCATGAATGCCAACTGTGTACCTGGAACAAGATAATCTGAACAACTCTGGCACACATGGGAAACGTACCTTGCCATGGTGGCTTCAGAAGTTTTACTCAAAGGAGTAGCAGCAGAAAAGCAAACCAGAAGCATTTTTTTAACCTTTTAGTATATCTAGACTGAAGTGTAAGACAGTTTATTAGAAATTTTTTTCCTCTCTTGTTTTCTAATCTGCTCTTTGCTCTGACTAGAGAAGAAACATGCCAAATGTATAGTATGGGATTGTTACCCACTTTTTAAACATGCTTGGAATAAGTAAGAAACAGCAGCAGTTTTAGATGCCACTGCAATAAATTCAGTTGTTTCTTTACTGTGAGGCAGAGGGAAAATACCAAAGAAGAGATTTGAGAAAAAAAAAAAAAGTCAAAACATATAAACTCTTACACCTTACCTTGCCAGCCAGGTTTGCACACTGGTTTGACGTTAACTCGCACTAAGACATCTTCCGTTGCATGTTTTTGCCCACAGTCAAAAGCTGTTACCTTTATCTCATACTGGTGCTGGTTGTCATAGTTCAGTTTCTCAGTGTTTCTGATGTTACCTGCAGATTTAATATAAGATAACGTTCAAAAATTCATTTTTGGAAAAGTATATGCAGACTAGAACATTGGGGTCCTGGCTAATCAAGCCCTTTGTGACCAGAAAGCTCTTTGAAGCACATGGAACATCTGCCAGTAAGACAGTTATGGGGAATGGGAAATACTTTCTTTCAATCCAGCATAGAAATAAAGTTCTTAGGCAAATACAAGATGGTACGGATATAATATGGGCATGTCTATCTTAGAAATCATCCGCTCAACTTCTTATTCTGAAGTAAGACTAATCAGCAGCTACATCTTGAAAGGTAAACCATGAGTAGGGACAACTTCATTATCCACATTTTCCCAGAATACACTGGTTTCTTTGGTTCTCTCTCAAGCACCTCACCTTGCCAAGTATGTTCAGGTCTGTCATGTAAATAGCTCTTCCCATCACAAAAGCAACTGTAATGTTGATATCAACTACATTATTTTTGAGTTAGTAATTGGCAAAAATGACTAATTCAATTTCCCAGAAATAACTAGAGCTATAACAGATTAAAAACCACAACAAGCCAGCAAAGCCTACAGAAAACAACACAAACAGATAAATATCAACAGGAATATAAAAATTCTTGTCTGAAAACACACACATTTACACCTCTTTCTTCAGAGTTCGTTGTGGGGATAGTTTGATAAAGGATTCCCTCTTTTACAGCTGCCTTTCATCTAATTTTAGACCAATCACAAGAATGGGGAAAGATCTGACCAATTTACTATGGCAATTCCCTCTTAAATTCCATACTTCCTGTGTGCATGAGGAGTATAAAACAGAATCTCCTAACCCTTACAAGAGATGAGGTCTTTGACTTCAGTCCGCTCATAGGAGCTCAACATTCCCAGCTGTCAAGAATGACCAGGAGCTGTATCTGACCATAAGTCAATTGAAGGATCAAATTGCTTCTAGTCAAAAAGCTCCACTTTTAAATCACAATGGAAGGAAATTATGGTTTAGTAAATAAATAAATATCACATGCAAACACTGAACTACAAAGTTTTATTACTTTTCTGAGAATATGAAGTTTGCATAGGTCCTAATACAGATCTCAGTGCTGTAAAGGATGACCTTGTGAGATCCTGTCCACATCTATTTTCTAAGATATGTAACTTCATATAAGCTGTATTGACTGGGCAGCAAAGTCAATAACTCATCTTTATAATGAACAATCTGAAGACGTATTTCTGAAATGCTTACCAGTGGTGGGTGACATACATAATTATCCCCATTTTAGAGATAAGAGTGGGTTAGAGCCATGACAGATTTTGTATCTGTGTCTGAATTCTCTGATCGTAATGACCATGACCCATGACAAATGCATAAAAATGCTGTTTTGCTTGATGGTTGGGATTCTCTGCTATGAAGATAACTAGATTAAACTGCATGAAATAGTCTCATAACACAATCTATCTTCTACCTGTAGTCCCAGTTCTTTGCACAGGAAAGCATAAATTCCCCTCTGCCTTTACACAATTGTATTTTACGACCAAATTAGAAATTGAGAGCGTGCAGAGTCACCTCGCACTATACCAGGTTGATTAAAGCCTCATCCAACCTGGCCTTAAGATCTACAAGAAATGCACCAGAATTGAATGCTGCTTCCTGCACCAGTGCTGGGTGCCTCTTCTCTTATGCCTCACACAATTGGGTGATGTAGACTATGGACTGCTAGTCTGGAGGGCTCCCAATGTGTAATATGATATTTCAAGACATAAAAACATGCTCCCTGGATTAACTTACATACAATCAGGAAGTTGGGTTGGTTTTTTTTTTCTGAAAAGACAAAGATGTGCCAGAAGAAATTCAGCTGATGGAGTATCATACTCATCCTTCTAAAAGCCTGTGTTTGTGGTTAGTTTCGTAAGTTGGTGGTGAAAAAAATCCAGCATCTGAGAGTGGTAATTACATGTTTTCTCACAGCCACCTTACTTTTAGGCTCTCTGCAGTATATGGATTTGATTCTAAGCATCCGGGTAAATACTTTTTCTGGGCAATGAAATTTCACACTTAGATTATTGAAAAGCAGAAAAAAAACATAACTTGCAGAAGACACAGGAACATAGCATGGTGTTTGTTTTTTCTCACAATGGGTAAAAAAATCCTGTCAACAAAATCCTAATTAGCACAGTATTAACAGACAGTCCCAGGCATCTCACACATCTACTTTAATCATCTTACAGGTAACAAAAATGGGCACAATGCCACAGGATTTGCACTGGAGAAAGTTTATGTCAGTGTTCCAACACTTCACAGCTGAGAATGTCTAAGCAACATATTTCTGTCACAAAATGAAAGTGCAACCATCTATTCTACCTCTGTCTCTAATCCCACTGGGTTTAAGCAATTACCATCATCTAAAAAAATTGCAAATTAGACTTCAATTACTGTTGATTGTGGCAGCACTGGCCTTTTAGTGAACGAATAGATAAAAAAATATTAATTGAATTCATGACCAAGACCTTGCAAGTATTACAACTGTATACCAATTATTCACTGCAGGCTTTAAAGCCATGTTTAAATCAATGATTTTCTCATTGCCTTTGCTGAAAAGCAGCTCCCAGGCACACAAGAAAAAAGATATAACCAAGGATTCCTGACATTTCCCATGCTTTTGATCATGTCTCTGACTGTAGGAAACCCATGATCACTCACAAGCCAGTGTCTCTGTGTGAAAGGGGCTGAAAAGGCATGAGCAATAGAAATGCCTACTCTGTGTTGTGCTAATCTCAGTGTATTATCTATCCATATCTGTCACAAATTTGGTAAGAAATTATGAACCAATCTGCAACTTGTGTAAGTAACCAGCCCCATACGAGCAAGTCACGTGGAGCTCTGGAAAAACATTGGTTTCAAACAGAAACACGGAGAGCTTCCTTTTATGACAACATGGGGAATCTCATACCTTGTATATAGTGTACTTACCTCCCAGTGTATGATAAACAAGGAGGCTTTTTTTCCCCCAAAGTGATTTACAATTTACTGATGATAACAGGTTACCTTTTGATGCTATGCTCAGCTCTGCATTGTGCAAGAGCTGCAGAAATAAAGATGAATAACTTCTGAGCAGGGAATGAGTTTTTCTAACACATTCCGACACGAAAATGACTGCTTAGAGAAAACAGTAGTTCCATGCACTCTCTCAATTTCTAATTTGGCCAAAAATCAGATTTAACTGCGAAAGAGTATTCTCCTCTATTAGATTAAATACTTTTGTTAGGAAAGACAAATCAGAGCACTGCTGGGCATGCACACAGGGTGCTTTTTCTGGGGAAACAAGTTCTGTGAGCACAGCAATTTCTATTCCGAACTCTTGCACAATTGGTCATATGTGAATATTAAGAACGAGGACTCTCATCTACAAAGTGATGCCCATATGTGACTGCTGAAGTACCTGAAAGACAGAGCTACTACTTTGTATTATCTGAAGCAAGCAGAGAATGGGAGGGAGGATCTTCAACACATTTTTAATGCAGCCTAGCCACCTCTCCCAAACAGAGCGTCAAGTTCTGTGCTTTTCACTGGTGAAAACTTGACTGGGAAAAGCAGGAAGCTGAGAGACATGGCAACCAAGGTCAAAAATTGCTGTATGTGGAAAACTTATTATCGTTTATTATTTTTCCTTTAACATTATATACAGTAGAAAACCAACTAAAATCAATAACCATTTAAAATCATACTACTTTCCACAACGTATTTTCTCCCATACTCCAGAACAGTGGATCTGCTTCAAGAAGCACCATGAATGGGTAGATCTGTGGACCCATATCCTGAAAGTTTCAACAATCAATAAACACATCCAGAATATTGTCAATTCTACATTTAGACTCTGCTCCACAAAGTTCGGAAGAAAGGGACTAGCTCTAAACCAGTGAACAACCCCTGTGAGGTTGGGCCATGTGGTGCATTAGGAAATGCTACCACTCAGATGGAAAACTGGATCTGAGACAATTAAGAGAAAGTACTGAGTGACAGCGAAACACATTGCTCATCTAAAAATGGGGGTTTGATTTCCACAGTAAATTACTGTGGCATTTTCTGACCAAATCTTATATGAAAGGGATGGGATTTCTCCATGTAAAGGTTCCTTCATGCTTAGAGCTGAGAACAGGATCACTCTGTTGAGTTAAAACTCAAGCCAGGTTATCAGGTAGTAACAACAGGTAATCACACTATCTGCAGAAATGACTGCTGTCTACCCCACACTTAAAATTGCTCCTTCTCCATACTCACCATTTCTGTCAATGGCAAACGGTACATCAGTTGTGACAATTTCATAATTGCAGATCTGGCTATATTGTGGAGAACAGTCCTCATCTATGGCTTCTACCTGCAGTATGCTGTCATAGATCTTCCCCTCTGTCACAGTGGCCTTATACACACTCTCCTTGAAAGCTGGTGAAAACTCATTGACATCCTTTACCTGGATATGGACCACTGCCCTAAAATAGGTAAATAAAGTTGTCAAAGAGAAATTAATTTATCATGACACACCACTGAGAGTTTTTTTTTCAAAATACTTGAAATGACTAATGGAACACATCTAGAAAACTATGTAAACATCTGCTAAAATGAGGTTATCATTGAATTTCCATGCTTAATTTGACCAATTTAATATCTTAATGAGGCAATTGGTAAAAACCTATTGCCACAGGAGAGAGATTCAGGTTGCTCTCTATTAAAATCTGTCTGTCTCTTAAAATGGACAGCAGCAGAAATTCAGTATATGCAATTCCAGTGTAAAATGTGTTAATAAGCAAAAAAAGAGGATGAGAATTTCAGCAGTCTTACATATTCACTACCTAAAAATATCAGTTTATGAACATTCTTCCACTTTAAGTAAGGCTCTTACCTGCTGATTACAATTATATAGTCCTTTAGCTAAAACACTGCACATGTAAACCTCCAAGGTCAAAAATAAGACGCCTTGAGTGTTTAATAAGCAAACCCTAAAGGCCTTGATTTGAAAGACTTTGCTATATGATTTGGTAGACAAGGTAACAAAGGGACAGAGAAGTGGAGAGACTTTCTAGATCAATGGCAGAGCCAGTACTAAAGGTTGGGACCCCAGACAGCCTGGCTTAGCATATGGTTTGCCATAGAAACGGCTATGAAAAGCATAACAAAGTCTGGTCCTGACAGGCCAGATTTCATTTTCTCAGGATTAGACTAAATTTTTCAAGAAGTGGAACATGCAAGCTTGTTACAGATATGCTAGAGAAAAACGTCACAAAATTTAATAATACGATGCAAAACCTGCTTCTGTGACTTGATGGTTACTTCTCTTGCAGGCTTCTTTCTAAATGCTCATTCTTTTTAAATATCTGAAAAAGTTCAGCATGCATTATAGAGCTAATTAAATTTTTAATTGTGTTGTGTCCTGGATGAGCAAAAGGAAGAATGATTACTATTAATCATTGATTTAAATGGCTCTCAGCAAAATGAACAATTTGTACAGCATTTATACATCTACATGTGAGTTACATTTATCTTTAATGACAAACGGTCTGGAGTTAGTTTCATTAATTTAAGGGGAAAAAAGGGACTGTGCCACTTAAGCTTATTCAGGGAATTGCCTCCACAGCAAAAAGTACCATCTACTAACCTTCAATACCTGTTTCTTCGAGAGGACTTTAATTCCTCTGAGACTTGCTGTCCAAAAGCTGAGATCAGAAACACACTGTGCAAAGGCAACACTGCTGCAGCATATATACACACACACATGATAAGAAAGGTCATTTCTTTTACCATTTGAAAAGGAATGAAGAGAGAGAAAACCTATTTAGAATTTGTAAAGTATCAATAAAAGCTAGCTTCCATGCCTTGGATGATCTGTTAAGTCGATGTATTTAACATGAAAGCAAGAACAGAAAACTAAACCAAAACTGATATCCATTTCTTTACTTGAACAGGAATCCTATTAAGAGCTTCAACTGGAACCGCTGCAAAATGGGTCAAACTGTTGGAGGCGAAAAGAAAAAGTATCTTCTAAAAGGAAAAAGAAATAAAAAGTGGATTGACTATTGCAACAACAGTGATTTGGTTTTATTTGCTTTCTACCTGGCTACAGTATAAAAAGGAGCCCTTCAATATGATCTGGAGAGCAAACGCATGCCAAAGCAAAAAAAAATATTCCTCCTAATTTTCACCCACTTGTGAGATTTCTTCCAGTTTCTTCCACCTGGTCCTGATCCACAGTCATAGGCCTGGATGATGAATGTGTATTCCTTCTGCAGTTCACAGTCAACAGGACTTTTTGCTTGAAGGCGACCTTCTCCAGATGTCTTGTTTAGTACAACAGCTTCAAAGGGCATTTCTTGTCCGTGGATTTTAAAAGCACAGATTTCACCTGTGAGGAACAGTACAAAACATCATAACCAAGGAGATCTAAGTCTTACGTACTGCTGTCATACTGGAGAAGTTAGCAGTAAAGTTGAATTTTACATGCTGTTATAGATGGGGTAAATACAGACTTGGGCATCGGTTACATACACAGTTACCATACATCCAAAAGGGCCAATAGGCATGAGCTTGTACAGTGTGATACAGCAAGCGCAGCTCTGGTCACGTACTTCCCTCTCTCTCTGTCATTACTAAATGCTTTTTTAAAGCCCCAGAGACTATTCCCTAGATTTGGTACTAACACCAATTTTGAGCTAAATTAGTTTTGAGCTAAATTAAGAAGATCTTATTTAGTTCAAGAAAATAGAGGTTGTCTTTTCTAACTGTTGTCCCTCCTTCCGCGAACCACTTGAGCTGCCAGGTGGTAGCAGATGTTCAGATTCTTGCAGTTTAGTTTCCCAACAGTGATACAAATAATCATGCAAAACATGGGCACATTCAAAATACATCCTGCTTCATTTACAGACATACATCATCTTTTGAACAGAAGCCGCTGGAGGAACACAGACAAGTGTCTTTTTTGGACATCTCAGTCACCCACCCACATTCACACACTCACACATGAATGCCTTCTTGGCAGCAAGTCACTCTGCCTCCAAACTGCCTCCCTCCACAGCTTCTCTCAGAGGCATACTATACAACAAAACAGATGATACAGCAAGGACTAAAACAAGTTTATTTGGACACAAAAGCAACATAGTCTTGCAAGAATATTTGTGTGTAAGGGGGTAAAAACCCCCCAGTTTCTGGTGATCCTTTCTTTTTAATCCTTCATAGTGATGGCAACGATATACATGCCGAATTCACTTTTATCCACTCCAGAACCCAAGTTCAAAAATGAAGTATTTATACAAAGACCAACTGGGCTTAAATATTTTTATGACACATTACACACATGCTCTTTTATGAGTAAGTCTGTCTCAGGACATGCATTATAGATTCAAAGCTGTTTTCCACTGACATAAGTCTTTTACATTTATTTCCAGCGTAGAGTTGCAGCCTTTTGGAAATGTCCTTGCCAATCATATTGAAGTCAACTGCCAAATATCAAATGAACTCTAAATCTATGCCCTCTAATTCAAGCCTAGCTCCTCTCTTTCTTTTTCTAATAGAATATATTGTCTATTTTTAGAGAAGAGACTGGACATTGACTTTATAAAAGTGGTAGAGTCTGTGTGAGAAAAAAAAAATGGGAGGGCGTCTGTGTGGGGCATGTGGAGATTAGGTGCACTTAAAGTATAAATACAGGCTTTTTAGGATATTCCCTCAACTACTTACGTTTCCCTTTAGCTTAATGGGAGCTGAACCTGATCTCAGTTATATACAGTGACATTTACGTAGATAAATCCTACACTTAACAATAATAATCAATCCTATAGATGTCTTTGCAAGATCAGCAAGAGTTGTTTTAGTAATTATGAAAACACATCGACTATTTGCTTGGATATTTGGTTGCTCTAGCCCCTCACTCAGGTGTGGTTTCCCAAACAGACAAAAGATGTGCTCTCTTCCACCCTCTATAATACCAAATATGTGGGCCATAGAAGAAAGAATGGATTTTATTCTGAGAATAAGAAAAAGTCTAATACTTCGCATAGCCATAAAAGCAGGCTCCACAACGTTTATTAATCATATAGGAAACAGAAGATTAAGAGAAGGCTGAAATGAAGCAGTTTGTTCAGCTTTGATCACGGGCACTGATCACTGAATTTGTATCTCAGTGTCGTCACCCATACTTATGAAAAAAATTTCCTTGCAACTTCAAAACGAAACATTCATCTAAAATGGTATTGCGGATTTCAGTTTTATTTTAACTGAATATGACAATAAGAATGTAAAGGTGGCAAGTCTAATGGAAAAATATTGTTTGCTGTCTTCTGAAATAATGGACTTCATAGTTTCCTAATAATAAACTTTTCCTCAGCTGCACAATCCACCAGCAGAAACCATAACTTCAGTGTTTTGTGTTTATAATTATACTGATCTACTGTTCGGTTGTAAACAGTGTAGCATTTGCAGACATCCACGCCTACTGTTCTTAACAAACAGAAACAGCCCAGGGCAGAAAGGAATTTCTCTCAGCCTTAATCTAAACACGCATTACCTTTCCCTCTCCAAATGCAGAGGCCTGGTGCAAAGCAATCACAGAAGCAGTACATGTTCTAATTAGTTCTCAGCAAATATTTCAGAAGACTCTGTATCCTGCTCCTATGGCACACTCTATATAACTCTATATAGTTCATATTACTCTAATTTTGACTTTTATATCGCCCAATTGCCAAACATAAAATAATGACAGCTGCATGGATATGAGGAGATATTTTTAAGCACACTGCAAAAACCCCACATACACTTTGAGATTCTGGTGACAGCAAAATACTTCTAGGAAAACAACTTCATATATTTTTAAAAAGCTAAGTACAATTTTTGTTTTCCAGAAGGTTTCTACTACTGTTTTAAAGACATGATTTAACACTATTGAAAATTAAAATGTAGGGTGATCATAATGATTCGAAAAAAGTGCCTTAATGACCATATTAGAAACGGCAGTTATAAGAGAGTTTTAGCAGTTGCAACATAGCAGAAAATTAAGCAAGGTCCACCTTTACATTGCAAGACACACATTTACAGATATATATAAAACTACTACTACTAGGCATTACAAAGTGTCTTTAAACTATAACACATTAACATATAACATAGTATTTTTCATTACTAAATTGAGCTATAGGTATTTATTTAAACCCTGACCTACAAGATGCCAACAGAAACTGTGCTGAGCTCATACTATTTCAAAGTACAAGAACCCAGTAACTCACTGGAGGAAAAGGAGACAAGACAGCGTGTCTCTCTTACTCAGGCTCACCATTTAAATTGCAGAACCAACACTTTCAGGCCCTTGGCACAACCTACCTTCCTTCTCCCTTGTAAGATTGACTCTAATTATTTAATTAGAGTGAAAACTGGGACAGTTTTCCTCACAACAGACATCACAGCACAATACTGAGCTTTGTTCATCATTGCAGTGGGTTTGGGAGCAGGCGCATATTGGATTTAGAGATCATAAAAATGGTGGTGGCCGTGAGCTGATAACAAGTTGGTGATACCACATAAAGGTGGAAGCACATCCATGAAATTCTATAGCTGCTGCAGCCAGACTAGAGAGGAAAATACTTCTTCTCCAAAGTCATACATCCTGCAGGTTTCAATTTGCTTCCTATAAAATCTTTTAGTTACAGGGCTGAACTTTACTAACAGCTGCTTAATTTTAATATGTCTTAAATTCTGGGCATTATGTTTTCTCTTCAAATCATTCAGACTACCAGTAGCTGTGAGCACCTATTCATTTTGAAGCCTACATTATTTTAAGAGCTCTGCTAGAGATCCATATGTTACTACTGGGATAATAATAATATAATTTTCTCTGTAAGAATTGTAATAGCCCAGAAAAAATATTGACAGTTTATAATTTCTGAAATACAACCAACAAATCTTTCCACTGGTTAGTGACACGGTTTAGTGGTGGCCTTGGCAGTGTTGGGTTTACATTTGGACTCAATGTTCTAAGAAGTCTTTCCCAACCTAAATGATTCTATGATTAACTCAAACCTAATTACCCTGCATGTTCTATTCTCTCCATTTGCCTTATGATTCTATATGGAGTATAGAGTTTATCTGTGTTCAGAACATGTCTATGTGTGTAAGTGTACACACATATTTGTTCCTGCCATTCACTTCCAAACCATTTGCTAATTTCAATTCTATTTTATAAAGACGAGTTGTTCCCACAAGTGCTATGAAATTATGCAGCTGCACAACACAGAGATGCTACAGAAACCCATTTCACTGGATAGCAAACAGTCCATACAAAGACCTTGTAAAAGCTCAAAAACAAGAAAAGCTTTAGCTCTCTCTTGCACCTTTTTAACCAAACATGAAGCTTAAACCTGAAGGAAACCAGGCTTCATTAGTTCACTGCTAATATTTATATTCATAGCCAGTTCTCATTTTATTACTCTCTAGCCTTTTACTATATTTCTATGTGTGTTCTTCTCGTATGTGCAAATCAAGATATAGTTGATCATTTATTTAGAACAAAGGTTGCAGTTTTATACTTAATGAGGTAAGCACAGTGTCCCTGAAAGATCCGAAAGTGCCTAATGCTGCATGATCACACATGAACCCACTCACACCTTGTAAGAGACACATGCTCTGTTCAGGTGAGATGCATATTGAATTCGAATTTGAAGAACAGAGACAGGAGTGCCATGACCAAGGTGTCACTATGACCTTCTGAAGACTTTCATATGAATGAATGACTGTAACACTGTTTTTTCCTTATGTGTGTCCTTCAAGAACCTGATTCAGCTACATGGATCCATTGCATTGTAAGTAAAAGGTATATGACAATGTCCTGGGTTCAGCAGCAGCAGTCATTTTTTCTCCTTCTTAGTAGCTGGTGCAGTACTGTGTTTTTGACTTTCAGCCTGGGAACAGCGCTGATAACACTGATGTTTTTACTTACTGCTCAAATGTTTACTCTGACCAAGGACTTTGTGAGCCTCATGCTCTGCCAGGGAGGAGGGGAGGCCGGGAGGAAGCAGAGACAGGACACCTGACCCAAACTGACCAAAGAGGTATTCCATACCCCAGTATGTCATGCTCAAGATGTAAACTGAGCGTTACCTGGAAGGGCTAGTTCACTGCTCGGTCAGGCTGGGTATTGGTGGATGGTGAGCAGTTGTATTCTCTTCCCTTGTTATTTCCCTTATCATTATTATTATTATTGGTGGTAGCAGCAGTGGTTTTGTGTTATACCTTAGTTACTGGACTTTTATTACCTCAGCTCCTGGGAATTACATTCTTTCCATTCTCCTACCCATCCCTCCAGGAGCAGGGGGAGGGGGAGGAACGGGGTGAGGAGTGAGCAAGCGAGCTGCACTTAAA